CTGGCAGTGTTCTCAGGCAAATCACCTCCAGGGTCTCAGTTTCCTCATCTGTAAAATGGGCATAATAATAGCACCTACCCTTACATCTTGCTCAACTCTGAATCCCCAAAGTACTTGACACAAAGTAGCATTTGACAAGTACAGACTGCATTAATTGATTAGTGGTGTTTGAGTATCAGAGGACATGACACACACAGCCCACAGTGCATGGCAATCATTATATTCTAGGGCTGAAAAACATTCCCCTCTTTCTCACCCCAATGAGGTCTCATTTATATACTTATAAACCCAGGCTGGCCTGGAACTCACTATGTAGCCCAGGCTAGCCTCAAACTGGCAGTAATCTTCCTACCCTAGCCCCACTAGAGCTGGGTTCATGGCATGTGCCACCACACCCAGCTCATGCCTGCCTTCTGACTCAACAGCTCCACTTGTAGGATTGGAAACAATACTAATAATTTAGGTAATTAAGGGAATAAATGAACAATTATGATAATCTTATTCAGGTGATTGGTAATTAAGGACACACCAATAATTTAGATGTAAGGGTGCCACTGGAAAGGCAGGTGCCTATCTTTTGAAGGGTGAGGTGTCTGTGTGCAGCACGCTGAAGTCACTAATGTGGGTGGGGGTGGGGGTGTCTAATGTAGCCCAAGCTGGCTCCAATCATATGTAGCTGAGGATGACCCTAAACTTCTGATCCTCTGGCTTCCACCTCCTGAGTGCTGGGATTATGGGTGTGCACCACAACAACCAGCTCTCTTCGGTGCTTCCAGAACCCACGAAACACACTGGCCTACCTCCTCAGCCCACAGAGAGACTCCATGGATGATACACTAAGGTAATGGTCCTCAAAGTGGGTCCAGGGAATAGCAGTCTCAATGCTACTTGGGACTGTGCTAAAAATGTAAAGTGTTCAAATTTTAAAATTTTAAAATTATTTTTCTGTTTAGTATACGCACATGTACATACTCAGGAACGTGTAGCTCTGTGTGGAGGCCAGAGGCCAATGGCTAAGTATCTTCCTTGATCACTCCACCCCCGCCACCTTTGAGATGGAGGTCTCTCACTGAACTGGAGCTCATTGATTCATCTAGGCTGAGTGGCCAGTGACCATCCTCCTGTCCCTGCATCCCCAGGGCTGGGATAACGGTTGCCAGCACCACCCCTGGCCTCCCACGAGTGCTGGCGATAGAGATGCTGCCTTTGCGTTTGTGTGGCGAGCACATCACTGACTGGGCCATCTCCCCACCGCCCTCAACTGGTTTTGGTTTCTTTTGAGAGAGGGCCTCACTGTGTAGCCCAGGCTGGCCTCAGGTTGGCAGGACTCCTCCCATCTCAGCCTCTCCAGTGGTTGGATAATAGACAAGAGCCACCACATCCAGTTTAAGACTCATGTTTAGGGCAGGGAGGTGGTCCTCTGACCTCTGAGCTGTGGTAAGTGCACACACAGAGATACATAAATAAATAAATAAAGGCTTTCTTTCAATAAGGTGATTGTGATGTGGGTCCAAGTTCAAGGACCACAAGTCCTAAGGTGTTTCTACAGTGTTTCCTTACTGAAGGGAGTGTGGATTTTTTTTTTTTAAATCCCAACACTCAGAAGGCTGAGACAGAAGGGCTGCAGATTTGAGGCCAGTCTAGGCTCTATAGCAAGACTGTCTCATAAAACAAAGACTGGTGCGGTGGCCCCGTGGGTAAGGGTGTTTACTGCTAAGCCTGAAGACCTGAGTTTAATCCCCAGGACCCACATGGTAGAAGAAGAGAACTGATTTCAAGTTCTCCTCTGTCTTAGTCAGGGTTTCCATTGCTGTGAAGAGACACCATGACCACGGCAACTCTTATAAAGGAAAGCATTTAATTGGGACTGGCTTACAGTTTCAGAGGTTAGTCCATTATCATGTCGGGAAGCATGGCGGTGTGCAGGCAGACACGGTGCAGGAGAAGGAGCTGAGAGTTCTACATCTGGATCCTCAGGCAGCAGGAAGAGAATGCCACACTGGAAGTGGCTTGAGCATCTGAGACCTCAAAGCCCGCCCCCATGGTGACACACTTCCTCCAACAAGCCCACATCTACTCTAACAAGACCACACCTTCTAAGAGTGCCACTCCCATGGGGGCCATTTTTATTCAAACCACCACATCCTTCAACCTCCACACATGCACCAGGGTATGTGCACCCATTGTTTCAATAAAAAATACATGTAAATATGGGCCGGGTAGTGGTGGCGCACGCCTTTAATTCCAGTACTCAGGAGGCAGAGGCAGGCAGATCTTAGTAAGTTGGAGGCCAGCCTGGTCTATAGAGCTAGTTCCAGGACAGCTAGTGCTGTTACACAGAGAAACCCTGTTTTGAAAAACCAAAAAACAAACACTTTTTAATTTAAAAAGAAGATGCTTGGACCCTTGACTTTGTGTCTTTTCTCAGCAAAGTGAGCTGATGTTTTTATTTATTTGTTTTAATTAGTACTTGGGGTTGAGATGCTATGTAGCCCTGGCTAACTTGAAACTTTCTGGCCTTGAACTCCCAGGAATCTGCCTGGCCCTGCCTCCCGAGTGCTAGGATTAAAGGCCTATGGCACTTCACTAGGCCTGAAAAGCTGTAGCCCACATTGGCCTCTACCCCTTAAGCATGTCTTTCTAGCTTGTCGCACTAACAGCAGCTAGCAAGTTGATTTTAAATATATGTATATTTAGCCAGGCAGTGGTGGCGCATGCCTTAATCCCAGCACTTGGGAGGCAGAGCCAGGCGTATCTCTGTGAGTTCGAGGCCAGCCTGGTCTACAAAGCAAGTTCCAGGAAAGGCTCCAAAGCTACACAGAGAAACCTTGCCTTGAAAATAAATAAATAAATAAATAAATGTATATTTAATTTTTTAATAAAATCTTTTAAAAAATAATTTATTTAATTTTATTTTATATACATTGGCATGAGAGTTTCAGATCCCCTGGACCTGGAGTTATAGACAGTTGTGAGCTGTCATGTGGATACTGGGAAGTGAACCCAGGTCCTCTGGAAGAGCAGCCAGTGCTCTTAACCACTGAGCCATATCTCTAGCCCTATTTTTTTTTTTTTTTTAATTTTAAGACAGGCAGATCTGAGTTCAAAGGCCAGCCTCGTCTACAGAATGAGTTCCAGGTCAACCAGAGCTACACAGAGAAACTCTGTCTTGAAAAAAACAAAAAGAAAACAATTTAAGATTTTTTTTTTATGTGTATGGATGTTTTACCTGCACCACGTACATGTTTGGTACCCATGGAGGATAGAAGAGGATGTCAGATCCCCTGAGTGTTTGTGACCTGTCACATGGTGCTGGACATTGAACCCAGAGCTTCATGACTGCTAGACAAATCCTTTGCCCACTGAACTATATCCTCGGCCCCCAAGGTAACTTTAAAACATTTTCATTTTATTTTTAAAGGTTGATTTTTATTTCTGTCTGTATGCATGCCATGTGTGTGCAGGTGCATGGCCCACAGCGGCCAGAAGAGGGTGATGGAACCCCTGAGCTGGAGTTATAGATAGTTGTGAGCTATACAATGTAGCTGCTGGGAACTGACCTCACGTTCTGCAAGAACAGTACACACCCTTAAATCCAGAGATGTCTCTCCTCCTGTGAGGTCATTCCTTAATGGAGGCATTAATGTTACCTGACGAATTGTTTCCCCTACTGTCCATTTCTCTTTGTCGAAATCATAAATAACGCCAGCACTAATATTGTCATGTGTACCTCTTACCAAATTTCAAATTGTGTCTGAAGTCAAGGTTCCCAGAAACACAGTTGCTGGATCAGAGGGGAAGGATGTTTGGAGACAGGGTCTCCTGAAGTCCAGCTGACTTCAAACTTGATTTGATGCTGACGGTAGCCTTGAACTCATGACCCTCCTGTCTCCACCTACCAAGTACTGGGATTGTCCTCACACATCATCACACTGTCTGGGAGGGACTCTTTTATGGTTCTTGCTCAATGTAGCTGGACTGCTCTTTCACAGTGAGGCTCCAGACAGGACTGCCAGTCGCCAGTGACCTCCCTAGAGCAACATGCTATGACTTTAAGTGGTTTTCTTCATTTGTTGGGAGAGAATATTACCTCCCTGATGTTCTGATTTTAACTTGTCTGGTTATTGGCGACAATAAACAGCTTCAGCCCTTTAAAATTAGCTTTTAAAAATAATAATGATAATAATGAAGGAATGGTGGCACACACCTTTAATTCCAGCACTCTGGAGACAGAAGCAGGCAGATCTCTATGAGTTCAAGGCCAGCCTGGTCTGCACAGTGTGTTCCAGATAAGTCAGCGCTACAAAGTGAACTCTGTCTCAAAAAATAAATTAAACATAAATAAAAAATATGCTTTTTAATATTTCTTCTTTTGTAAATTGGACTGGACGTCATCCTGTTTAGTCTCTGTGAGTCTCCGTTTCTTTTCTCTCTCTTTTACAGATTTATTTTGTTTTTAGTTACATATATACCAACACGTGTGGGGTGGAGAGGGAGTCCGCAGGACGAGCATGCCGTGCCCTCAGAGGCCAGGAAAGGACATCGGATCCCCGGAGCTGTTGTTACAGGCGACTGTGAACTGTACTGTGTGGGTGCTGGGAATCCAGTGTGGGCCCTGGGTAAGGGCAGCGATTACTTAACGGTGAACTGTCTCTCCAGCCCGGGGTTCTCAATTTATTTCTCCATTTGTGAGCCAGATTTCTACTACTTTGACGAATTCTGCAGGGACTCATATTAAAAAGGGGAAAACTTCACTCTGGCTCACGGTTTCAGACGTTTGGGTTTGCGGTGCGGTCAAACATCGAAGCTGGAGCCAGACAAAGGAGATCGATAGTCTCACGGTCAGTGAGTGGGTGCAAAAGAAAGGCAGGAAACGGCTGGTTCTGGGGAGCAGACTCCTCAGAATCCAAACTTTCCCTCCAGGGGGAGTGAGAGGGGACGGAGGCGGGGGCGGGGGGGGGGGGGGGGGGGGGGGCGGGGGGGGGGAGCCTCGGGAAACCACGGAGGTAAACAAAAGGCCACATTCGGGGAAAGTGGAGACTTGCAAGATTCTCGAAGGCCCCTCCCTTCCCAGCTTTCCAGAAGGAACAGGCAGCTGCAGAGGGGCGATATCTCGGATCTGTCAGCTGCCTGCAGGCTGTGCAGGAGAGCTCCAGGGTTGCAGCTTTTGTGAGTCGTCACCCTGTTGGGGTTTTTGGCGATGCAGCTGTTTTTGAGTCACACCTGCTCGGGTAGGTAACCCCTCACCCACACTCCTGTTAGTCCAATATAAGCTCGTTAGTTACATGTTAGCCCTTGGTATGGATGTTACTCGGGTCTGTCATGGAGTTCCCTTTCTGGTGTTAGCCCTTGGTATGGATGTTACTCGGGTCTGTCATGGAGTTCCCTTTCTGGGAGATTAGGGGTGTGTGTGTGTGTGTGTGTGTGTGTGTGTGTGTGTGTGTGTGTGTGTGTTGTGTCTCCCCAGAAAAAGTCTGCCACAGGACAACTGGTCCATCTAGTCTCTTCAAGGACAAGCACCCAATGACGTAACCTTTGTCCAAGTAGACCCCGCCTCTTAAAGGTCCCGGCACCTCCTGACAGGGCCACAGGGCCAGCCAAGATTTAAACTGTAGATTGGCCTGAACTGCAATGCCAGAACACTCAGCCGTAGAGCCCCGCCCCAGCCTCTTCACGGGGATTCTTCTTGAGTTTGTTATTACTACTCCACAGGATTTACCTAATATTTACCTAAATTTACCTAATACTTACCTGTTAAAGTCTTCATTAACTAACCTGGGAATGTTCATTGCATCCCAAATCTATCTTTTATACCTGGAAGTCTCAGAATCCAACCTAGGACTCCATGTATGCATTTATTTCCCTCCTCTTTTGAGGGAAACGCCGCGAGGGTGGCGGGGGGAGGTCGGAGTCTTACAGAAAAGGTCAGGGAAGAAGGAAGAACCAGGGCTCAGCCCCTCAGCCCTGCAGATCTGACCTCACGTCCAGGAGAACTCCACAAAAGGTCAAGGACACTCAAGACTCAACAGAAGGCTCCAGGTGCCAGGAGCAAGCCCTGCCCCAAGCAGGTGCAGAGCTGAAATCCGTCCACTGAGTCTCAGAAACTTCCTGCTCAATGTTTTTCTCCGTTGCTAGGGAACCTGGATTCCTTAGCTGCTCACTGGTTATCACCCCCTCTTGTGTCCATATACAGTAATAGCCCCTACAATTGAGCAAAGCATGTAGATTCAAACTTCCCACTTCAGCCTTCCCCCCTCCTCTTCCTCCTCCTCCCTCCCTCCCCCCCTCCACTCTCTCTCTCTTCCTCGCCCCCCCCCCATAGGCACTTTTTAAAATTTAATGCATGGTTTAAATATTTTTGTGTTTATTGCTGGGAATCCAACACAGGACTCCATGTATGCTAGACAACATCCTCAGCCCTTATTATTTTTTTTAAAGATTTTATTTTTAATTATGTGTATGTGTGTATATCTGTGTGCTGGCACGTGTGCATATGGATGTGTGTGGCCTCAGAGACCAGATGTGTTGGATCTCCCTGGAGCTGGAGTTAAAAGTGGTTGTGAGCTGCCCAATGTAGGTGTAGGGAACCTGGGTCCCCTGGAGGAGCTCCATGCACACTTAACTGCTGGTCCACCTCTCCAGCTCCAGCCCTTAATTTTTTTTTTTTGTTTGTTTTTTTGTTTTTTTTTTTCGAGACAGGGTTTCTCTGTGTAGCTTTGCGCCTTTCCTGGATCTCGCGCTGTAGACCAGGCTGGTCTCGAACTCACAGAGATCCACCTGCCTCTGCCTCCCAAGTGCTGGGATTAAAGGCGTGCGCCGCCGCCGCCGCCGCCGCCGCCGCCGCCGCCGCCGCCGCCGCCGCCGCCGCCGCCGCCGCCGCCGCCGCCGCCGCCACCGCCGCCGCCCGGCAGCCCTTAATTTTTATTGTGGAATTTAATGCATAGAAAAGCATCCAGAAGTCTGGCATGGCACATGCCTTTAACCCCAGCACTCAGGTTGCTGAGGCAAGAGGATGTGAGTTTGAGGACAGCCTGGGCTACGTGTAGAGACTGTGTCTTAAAAACCGAAGAAATGGGTCTTTGTCAGTACCTTAGGCACCACCTGCCCAGGCAAGCACACATCGCCCCCTAGCTGCAGGTATGTGCCTGCATCTCTTTGCTTTGTGTTCAATTATCAGAATAAGTATCTTTAAACAAGCAAGCTTCTGATTGGGAAGTTTGTATAAATAAAGTCATATATTTTCACTCAATATCATGTTTGTGGGCATTGGAGAGAAGGGTCAGTCATTGAGAGCAATTAGTGATCTGCAGTTCAGTCCCCAGCACCTGCATGGTGGCTCACTACTGTTTTAGTTTGTTTCCTACAGGGTCTCTCTAGATAGCCCTGGCTGGCCTGGAACTCACAAAGATCTGCCTGCCTCTGCCTCTGCCTCTGGAGTCCTTGATTCAAAGGTGTGTGTCACCATGCCCCACTTATCACCTCATGTTTTGAGACAGGGTCTATCACTTAACCTGCAGCTCCCTGGTGTGGCTGACCTGGCTGGCCAGCATGCCCAGGTATCCTCCTGCATCTGCCTCCCAGCACTGAATCACAAACCCACACTGCCATGTGTAGCTAGAGTTTTCCTGCCTGGCCCACAGTCAGGACAAATCTCTCTCACCTGCCAGTCCCACAACCGCTCAGACCCAACCAAGTAAACACAGAGACTTATATTGATTACAAACTGTATGGCCGTGGCAGGCTTCTTGCTAACTGTTCTTACAGCTTAAATTAATCCATTTCTATAAATCTATACCTTGCCACATGGCTCGTGGCTTACCGGCATCTTCACATGCTGTTTGTGATCATGGCGGCTGGCAGTGTCTCTCTGACTCAGCCTTCCACTTCCCAGCTTTATTCTCCTCCTTGTCCCGCCTACACTTCCTGCCTAGCCAATGGCCAATCAGTGTTTTATTTATTGACTAATTAGCAACACATTTGCCATACAGAACATCCCACAGCACTTCCCCCCCCTCTTTTTTTATTTCAAAAAGGAAGGTTTTAACCTTAACAAAGTAAAATTACATATAATTTGGGAATTTGGGCGTAGCTTCTCTTACTACTTCCTGCTGGAGGTGGGCACTGTATCTTATGGGGACACAAAGAAAATTTTAGGATTATGGAATAGTCCATGAGGGTGTATCGTCTGAGCCAGTTGCCTTCAAACCATTCTGGATGTTGGAGGAAGGAAAGGGAGACCGGCTGGAGCCACCGCCAAGACAAGGAAGATGTAAAGTACCGGTAAGCCACGAGCCACATGGCAAAGTAAAGATTAATAGAAATGGGCTGAATATAAGAGTGAGAGCTAGACAATGATAGGCCTGAGCTAATGGCCAAGCAGTTTAAATAATGTAAGAGTCTGTGTGTTTATTTTATAAGTGGGCTCCGCGACTGGCGGGACTTGGCAGTGGGAGCTGGAGAAAAATTCTCCAGCTACAGCCATGTCAGTTTTATTTAGTTTTAAAGCATTTTCTGGGTGCCCTACAGTTTCCATTACTGTATCTAAGGGTTTCTATGCTGTGAAGAGACACCATGATGATGTTAACTCTTATAAACATTTAATTGGGGCTGTCTTACAGTTTCAGAGGTTTAGTCCATTATTGTCATGGTAAGAAGCATGGCAGCATGTAGGCAGACATGTTGCTGGAGAAGATGCTAAGAGTTCTACATCTTGATCTGAAGGCAACAGGAAATGAACTATAACCCTGGGTGTGACTTGAGCATATATGAGACCTCAAAGCCCACCTCCACAGTGACACACTTCCTCCAAGAAAGCCACACCTACTTCAACAAGGCCACACCTCCTAATAGTGCCACTCCCTATAGGCCAAGCATTCGAACACATGAGTCTATGGGGGCCACACTTATTCAAACCACCACAACATGACCAAAAAGCAAATTAAAGAGGAAAGAATTGATTTCAGCTTATACCTCCATATCACTGCCTGTAACTGAAGGAAGTTAGGACAGGAACTCAAACAGGGCAGGAACCTGGAGGCAGGAGCAGAGCCTATGGAGGGGTGCTGCTTACTGGCTTGCTTCCCATGGCTTGCCTTGCTCAGCCTGCTTTCTTATAGAACCCAGGACCACCAGCCCAGGGATGGCACCACCCATAATTGGCTGGGCCCTCCCCCATTGATCACTAACTGAGAAAATGCCCTACTGAAGTGCGATGCTAATTAGTCTTATTAAATAAAAACCCAGAGTCAGATATTAGGGTGAAAGCTGAAAGATCAGAGAAGCAGAGCAGCAACCACTAGAGACCTCTTATCTCTATGAAATCTCGGACCAAATGGGGGGCCATCCTGTCTCTGTGAATTGTAGCTAGAGTTTTCCTGCCTGGCCCACAGTCAGGACAAATCTCTCTCACCTGCCAGTCCCACAGCCACTCAGACCCAACCAAGTAAACACAGAGACTTATATTGGTTACAAACTGTATGGCCGTGGCAGGCTTCTTGCTAACTGTTCTTACAGCTTAAATTAATCCATTTCCATTAATCTATACCTTGCCACATGGTTCGTGGCTTACCGGCATCTTCACATGCGGCTTGTCATCATGGCGGCTGGCAGTGTCTCTCTGACTCAGCCTTCCACTTCCCAGTTTTATTCTCCTCCTTGTCCCGCCTACACTTTCTGCCTAGCCACTGGCCAATCAGTGATTTATTTATTGACCAATCAGAGCAACACATTTGACATACAGACCATCCCACAGCACTCCCCCCCCCTTTTTTTGGGGGGGGGACCAAGATCCTGTCTCCATCTCCCTAGTGCTGGGATTAAAGGCACACACCACTGCCCCCTCCCATTTCTCTTTAAAACTGGTTCAATCTCATGTAGCCCAGGGTGGCCTTGAACTCCTGATCTTCCTATTTCCTCCTCTGGAGTGCTGGATTAAAGTTGTGTGCCATCACAGCCTGGCCGCTATGTTTAACTAGTAGCTAGCTCTGCCCTCTGATCTCCAACCAAGCTTAATTTGTCAGAACACAAATAAAATATCATACAACACCCTACTGTCAAGTAGTGGTGGAGCACACCTTTAATCCCAGCACTCAGGAGGCAGAGACAGGTGGATTTCTGTGAGTTCAAGGCCAGTCTGGTCTACAGAGTGAGTTCCAAGACAACCAGGGATACACAGAGAAACCTTGTCTCAAAATAAATAAATAAATAAATAAATAAATAATAAATAAAATGC